TTTAAAGATTATTTTTGAGGCCTACCATTAGGCGTGGATTTTTTAAAGATTATTTTTGAGGCCTACCATTAGGCGTGGATTTTTTAAAGATTATTTTTGAGGCCTACCATTAGGCGTGGATTTTTTAAAGATTATTTTTGAGGCCTACCATTAGGCGTGGATTTTTTAAAGATTATTTTTGAGGCCTACCATTAGGCGTGGATTTTTTAAAGATTATTTTTGAGGCCTACCATTAGGCGTGGATTTTTTAAAGATTATTTTTGAGGCCTACCATTAGGCGTGGATTTTTTAAAGATTATTTTTGAGGCCTACCATTAGGCGTGGATTTTTTAAAGATTATTTTTGAGGCCTACCATTAGGCGTGGATTTTTTAAAGATTATTTTTGAGGCCTACCATTAGGCGTGGATTTTTTAAAGATTATTTTTGAGGCCTACCATTAGGCGTGGATTTTTTAAAGATTATTTTTGAGGCCTACCATTAGGCGTGGATTTTTTAAAGATTATTTTTGAGGCCTACCATTAGGCGTGGATTTTTTAAAGATTATTTTTGAGGCCTACCATTAGGCGTGGATTTTTTAAAGATTATTTTTGAGGCCTACCATTAGGCGTGGATTTTTTAAAGATTATTTTTGAGGCCTACCATTAGGCGTGGATTTTTTAAAGATTATTTTTGAGGCCTACCATTAGGCGTGGATTTTTTAAAGATTATTTTTGAGGCCTACCATTAGGCGTGGATTTTTTAAAGATTATTTTTGAGGCCTACCATTAGGCGTGGATTTTTTAAAGATTATTTTTGAGGCCTACCATTAGGCGTGGATTTTTTAAAGATTATTTTTGAGGCCTACCATTAGGCGTGGATTTTTTAAAGATTATTTTTGAGGCCTACCATTAGGCGTGGATTTTTTAAAGATTATTTTTGAGGCCTACCATTAGGCGTGGATTTTTTAAAGATTATTTCTTAATTTTTTTTTTTATTTTTTATTTGGTAAAAATTGAAAACTTCCATATTCACTTTGTATCAAAATTACGGAATATAATACAGTTTGGGCAATTATGGCAAATAGTGTTGCCAAATTAATTGAAACCATTCCGAAGATGTTGATATTCGATTCATAAAGACAACAGCTGAGGGTAAGCTTTTCGATCTGCAAAGAAAAAATAAATTTTTTTAATATTTGTTAGTTCCCATTTTGAAATCACTTACCTCCTCTTCCTCCACCCTGTCATGCTTTGTGATATATTCATAGAGAATCACCTGCGATTCCCTTATGGTCCCCCTTACCCATTCGCATAGGGTAAAATACAAATACATGTGTATGAGTACACACAGATAGAAGCTATCGCCGAATAGATAATTATAACTTCGAGAATTTTGACCCGGCACCAGGAAGATCATAAGGACAACATAACCCACCATTGAATTGGAGATAATGTGGCACAGCAGGATACACAGCAAGGAGGGGCTGTAGATCTGATTTAACTGTAATACCTTCTGACGTAGCTGCGAATAAATCAGGCTCAACTTCGGATCGTGATAATTCGCCAATAGCTGATAATTGATTTGCGAGAAGCATTCACGTAAATAGCAAAGAAGTACCCCATGTTGTAACATAAACAGGTGTTGGACTCCCACCATTCCTAGCAGGGGATGTAATTCGATCGCCTTACGATACTGTCCCGCCAGGATACCTTTCCAAATATCCACCGCCACACTGGCAATGTGGATACATGTTACAGCCCCATTCAAAAACAACCATTTACGATGTCCCGTCGTTTTGGGTAAATCTCGCAAACGATCAAAATACGACCTCTGTATATCCAATATCGTTTCGAACCATTGCCTTAGCTGCTTATCCCTATGCCAGCGGGTCAGGGCATAAACATACGTGATAACCAATCGCATAACGAGTGTTAAAAAATTCGCATATCTGGCTACGGGGTTTGATACATACAAATGGGCCTGTTGACTGGTATACAACACAGTGTAGGGTGTCCATAGCAGGAAACTGAAACTGCCAAAGGTTACATAGAATTTTATAAAGAAATTTGCCGGTTGCAGCTGCCTTCCCTCAAAATTCACTCTCAACAAGGTGGAGCCCACATAAATGCTAATGAAAATAACGAAATTCATTAGCAAACGATTCCAATTCATTGTGACAGGTATTTCACGACTATTTACCACGAATACGGAACTTGTTGTGTCAAGGGTCTTCTGTGAAATAATGACGATTTTGTTTGAGGATAAGAATCATATCAATTAATCATGAAGTAAATTACATGAACATGGCACAGTGGGGGATAAAGGAAAAAAATAATGGTAGTCTAACAAAGCGTTTACACATTGTCTATTCGAGAATATACGTGGATTCTGAGCAGTTGGTTTCAGACCTAATTCTTGCAATTTCCTGGTAATTTCGCTACAACCATTTGCCGTCACCACATTCACATGGGTGATGGGTGACCAAGTTACATTCAGCTCCAAAAGCTGCCAGAAGTCCAATTGACGACAGTCGCTTATCTAATGGACTTCCCACAATAGTACCTCCATGAGGTTTTTTCACACTTAATGGTTCATCCATCTCTGTTTGATCGGATTCATTATATATGTAGGTGTAAATATTCACACTCTTCGGAGTTCTTCTCCTCATTATATTCAGATTGATTACCTTCAACCTCATCCTCCACCGTTTGGAATAATTTTCTGGGTCTTCTCCGTCTTCTACATTTTGCAAATTTCGAACGTCCTCTATCCCTCTTTTGAGTAGTTACAGTTTCTGAATATTCTTCTTTAATAACATAATACAAGTCTCCAATTCTTTCTGCAGTTAATATTGCCTTCTTTTCTTTCTATCAATTATAACTACGCCGTACTTACGAAATTTGACCTCATAACCTTTATCTGTTATTTTCGACACTGACAGCAAATTCGATCTCAAGTCTGCTACATAAAGAACGTCTTCTAATTTCACATTTGTTTCAGAAGTCCCATTTTTCACCGAAATTTGAAAATTTCCGATTCCACAAATGTTTGTACAATTCTTGTTTGCCAAGTTCAGAGTCTGGTCCATTACTTTTATATTCGTAAAAATCTTCTTATCAGCACTCATATGCGACGTACATCCACTGTCCAAACACCATTTCACTTCTGAACACAAATAATATGCTTCTCTGGCCATCAGTTCTGATTTTCTATTATCTTCGACTTCTTGGGAACCACGAGTATTTTCATCACTTTCTGTTTCTGCAATTTCTTGCGAAATTGCAAGATTTATTTTATTGCTTAGATTTATTTTCCTTCTTCTTTACATCATGCTTTTTGACATAAAGAACGCTCGAAGTTTCGTCATTTTCTTTCGATTTCCTCGATTTTGATTCTCCCCAAAATTTCACACGCAAAATTTCCGGTTTGGGCAATTCGTCCCTTGTTTTCCCAGGGCACAACGAAACGTTGCGAACGATTCTAGTAATTTATATAGAAGTAAAATCGCCAACAATTCATCTCCAATTAAAACGTCAATTTCTTTTAACTTGGCCACGGCATCGAAAAAAAATGTTTAGATGTTCCCGTACATTATCGCCGTCACGCATTCTTGCCAATGCGACTGTTTTCAACAGTGTAGCCTTCCTCGCAGGCCCTTTCGATTGATACGTTGATTCCAATCTCAACCAGATTTCCCTTGCACTCTTACGTTCTGCTATCAAGCCCAATTCCGATGGAGCCATCGTCAATATTATGGCGGCCGTTGACTTTTGGTTTAGCTTTTTCCAAGCTGCTGCTTCAACTGTATCATTGGGACATTCCTCGCTTCCATCGACATATGTCCAGAAATCGTTTTTCACCAACATTGCACGCATCTGCAGTTTCCATGTGTCGTAGTTCTCCGCGTTCAATTCTCCAACAGTTTTTCTCCGTTCCTTTACAATTATAAAACCTTTTCCTTCGCAAAACGTCGCTTATTAAAAATGGTACTCCTTAGAAAAATAATTTGAAAAGTCCACGCCTAATTATAGGCCTCGAAAAAATATTTCTTGTATGATGTAGGGTATCAATTTTTATTGGTTGTGTTCTCCAACCTAAATGTAGTATTGAGTATCTCTGTCCTCTGCCACGTGCCAGCTGCCACTTTTATTCTTATCCTTTGATCTAAACGTGTAAACATTCATTGGAAGTGGCATTTTCAATTACCCAAATTGATTGGCGACAGTTGCAAGACCGAACCGCAAAGTGCGAAGTGGAAAAAAATGTTCGGCAGTTCATCTAACGAATAAAAATTTCTCTACCAAAAAAAAAAATGTGTCCACATTACATGAAAATTGCCAGCGTAAAATTATATAAAAATCATCCAAAGGGTATGTTGAGAGATTAAGACCTTCTGCCCTCCATTTTACTGAAAAGAGGATTCCAGGGCTAAAATCGAACCCGATGTTTCTAGAATCTTAAATAAAGACACAATGACAGATGGATTTCTTCTTAAAATATCAAAGAAAATACTTTTGCCGATGCAAAGGTACACATGGAGAGTGGAAAGCATCGCACCGACATACTCAAGGGTTTCTGTGAACGGGTAATAAGTATCAGAACTATGCGACGCAATTTCGGATTACAAATATACCAATTGCAGCTGAAAACTATGACTCAAGGATATTAAATAATCAATATGGTGGTTACTAAGATAATTAGGAAGGAAGGGAATTTATTCCTACATTTTCAGCCACCAAAAAAATTTTTTCCTTCCAACTTTTACGTCATATTATTGAAACCCTATCAATTATTGTAAATTATTCGCCAATTAGAAAAGTTCGGCCAAACATTTGGCACAACATTTTATATAATCGCTTAATAGCCTAAGGAACTCTTAACTAACGACGAGAATCGTCCAGCAATTATAAACTTTTAATTAAGATATAATCGAACTATAAAAAGACCAGCGGATGGGACACTTCATTATTAGTTCTTCTTAGCTGCGAAGTGATACACTAAAGTTGAAAATTAAATATCCGAAATGTTCTTGCGTTTTCTATCGCGCAACAATCCTTTGGAGGAATATTATTTTTATGTTCCGAAAATTTGCCTACAATTAATGGGATTTTGGCCGGGATCAACGGCCTCAAAACGTATACGTTTCTGGGCCATATTTAATTTTTTCATACTCCTAATTGGTGTGGTAACCGAACTTCATGCTGGTTTTTCGTATCTAAGTTATAATTTGGAGAAGGGTCTGGATACTCTCTGTCCAGCGGGTACCTCAACTGTTACTGTACTCAAAATGATCTTGATATCATATTATCGTCAAGATTTGGAATTGGTGTTGAAGAAAATGCATCGCATGCTCTATGGGTGTCAGGAGAAAGATGAACAACATCGTGTGATTTATAATGGTATCATTCGGAAATCTTCGGTTATGGCAACCCGTGTCAATTTTGCTCCATTTTTGGCGGGATTTATAACCTGTACAGCGTACAATTTGAAGCCATTAATTTTGGTGTGGATTTTCTGGTCCAAGGGAAAGGAGTTGATGTGGCTAACACCTTTCAATATGACGTAAGTATTGTGAAATAAAGGACCAGCTAATAATTACTTGTGTAGGGCTAGGCAAGGTTTTAGTTAAGTGCCAAGTGACAATCGAAACTAAAAATAGGGGTTTTATAGGCTCTGAAAACTCCCTAGGAGATTTTCGTCGTAGTTGAGTCATAAACAATGTTCACGTATCGAACATCGTGATAGTGAATGTCTTACTGTGGGTCTCTTGTGTAAAGGAGGGAATATAATGTTAAACGAGGGATCTGTTATCTTACGCGTATATTGTCTGCGGAATGAAAGCACATATTTTACAATCGGTGTGATCCTTAAGAACTAAGTATTACATTATGACTTAACTTATCTTAGACTAATGTGTAACAGAGAGAGAGAGAGAGTGCGTGAACCCATCTGACATATCACACCTTTGTCTGTCGGCTTCTTCTTCCAGCCTGAACCATTGACAATAGCCTTCCTCATCTTCTCCGCATTTTGGCCTCTCGTTCCATCTTTAAGGCTGGACACCTCTTCTTCAAACATTATCGATTCCAATATTGTTACTCACTAGTATTACATTATGACTTAACCTATCTTAGACTAATGTGTAACAGAGAGAGAGAGAGTGCGTGAACCGATCTGACATATCACACCTTTGTCTGTCGGCTTCTTCTTCTTCTTATAGCCTGAATCATTGACAATAGCCTTCATCAGCTTCTCCGCATTTTTGGCCTTTCGTTCCATCTTTATGGCGGGACAATCCTCTTCTTCAAATATTGACGTAGATTCCAATATTGTTACTCACCAGATTGAAGCTAAAGGAACTAGAGAAACGAAAGAACGGAAGCTAGAACCGGTCGTTCATATTGCGGAATTTGTTCGTTCAGGAACGACTCGACTCTACCAAAATTATTTAGTTCATATGGTCGGCGATGAAACTAGTGTATTATCTCCAGCGGACGCCTAGTGTAACATGTCGGAATTCCATACAAGCGACTTACTTAGTTAGCTGGCTTGGGACAGAACGTTTGTTTCATAAATCGATCTTAAAATAGATTTCCAGACGCGTCGATCTTGTGTGCGCGTCGATATGTTATCTTCCACTTGGTATTTCCATCTTATTCTTGGCCTTCCCCTTCTGCGTGAACCATCAATAGGCTAGCTTTATTTGTCCTTTTGAGCTGCGGCATCCTCATCCATTCGCACAACATACCCTAGTCGCTGCAGCTCGATCCGTCTGACTATATCGATGACTTTGTATAGATAGTATAGCTCATTATCGATATTCACCTCAGACACAGATCGGCCGTAGATTTTCCGGAGAAATTTTCTCTCAAAACACTCGAAGAGCTGCCTCCTCTGCTTGCGGAAGAACCCATGCTTCATATCCATACAACAACACGGATAGTATCAGTTACAGACAGACTCACTTTGGTAGACTTCTTCTAAATCATGCGCACGAACTTCAGTCTGTATTAGTGTCAACTGAGAAGAAAGTCTATCCGGTGAAGTAATCGGAAGTAGAGGTTTAGCTTCTGCATGATGACTTGAGCGGACAAAGCGAGGTGGAGTGGTTGGTAAGAATAAGTCGTTAATTTCGAATAATCCAACATTAAGGACGAAAATATAAATGGGGCACCGTTAAGAAAACCGATTGGAAAGATAACGGTGGTACCTGAATGCGATCACTTAGCTCATTTTTTAACAAACCAGTCGTAATATATGTCTCACAATCTCTACATACATTCATTTCTCGATTTCAGCATGCCCAAATTTCTGCTGGAAGGTCCACTCTATCCCTTGGCCTATATTTTCACAGCCTATACCGGATATGTGACCATCTTTACTTTTGGTGGTTCCGATGCCCTATACTTTGAATATTGTACCCATATTGCTACGCTATTGAAAATGTTACAAGCCGATGTGAAATTATTGTTTCGGAAATATGAAGAGAAATTAACTCTAACCCCTTCGGAAGCAGCCTATGTAGAGGAACAGCTGATTTTAATTATAAAACGTCATAATGTCATTATCGAAATGACCCACTTCTTTCGGAAACGTTATAGCATTATAACGCTGGCCCATTTCGTATCGGCTAGTATGGTAATTGGGGCGAGTATTTTTGAAATGTTGACGGTAAGAGAGGGGGAGTGAGAGAAACACGATTGAAGAGAGAGAGAGAGAGAGCAAATTTAAAATTGATATTTTTCTCTTTCTCCCAAAAAAAAAGTATACCGGTTTTGGTCGCTTCATTTATTTGGGTTACACTGTGGCAGCCCTGTCTCAGTTGGCGGTCTATTGTTATGGCGGAACTTTGGTGGCTGAAAATGTAAGAATAAATCCCATACTTATTTTCTTCAAATTATTTCATTTATCATCTCCCAGAGCATTTATTTAGCCACCGTGGTTTTCAAATGCAATTGGTATATTTGCAATCCGAAATTGCGTCGCATAATCCTGATGATTATTATCCGTTCACAGAAACCGCTGAGTATGTCGGTGCCATTCTTTTCACCCTCCATGAGTACCTTTGCATCGGTAAGAGAATTTTCTTTTCATTTCAAGAAGAAATCCATCTGTCATCATGTCTTTATTTTAGATTCTACAAACATCGGGTTCGATTATAGCTCTGGCATCCTCATTTCAGTAAAATGGAGGGCATAAGGTCTTAATCTCTCAACATAATATTTGACACCTAGAAAGGCACAAAAGTAGTTGAAATATCTAGAAGTTTTATTCACAAATAAAAAAACAGTCACCAAAAATATTCCTCTAAAAAAATTCACCACTGATATTGGAAATTATAAGTATAGCTTACCACAAGATGGACTTATCGTATCTAAATAACAAGCAGAAGAACTTTTAAAATGCCTCGAAGAAAGAAGCAGCGTACCTAAAGAATAGCACTTCTGAATCGTCATTAAAAGATAAGCGACGACTGCGTAGGGACACGACGTAAGTGACCTAGAAGCAACGGGAGATCAATGAATTTTTTCTAGCAGGTCAGTTCTACTTCAAAAGAGTCTTAAAGAAGAATCTCAATAATTAGAGAAGACATAAATAAAGCCAAAATGTTTCCAAACCCAAATCTATTTACACGTTCAATGTACGCATTTGAAATGCATTATAGTTTTATGTATTAAAATGTAGGTTTAGAGTTAAGAAGATATTATAAATAAAATGAGCTCACCTTGAACCGCAGAAGCATCAACACCATATGTTTCTTTTTTCATAGCTTTTTCCCGCCACACCTCGTGATGAGCATAGGAGTCGGCTCATCAGCTAAAGATACTAAAGTTTGCCTTGAAGGAAGGTTGCAGCCATTACATTACAAGGTCTCGAACTTTAGCCCGTGTTGACGACAAACGAGTAGATAGCACAGGTAGTAATTTTACAGCAGCTGAAGATGCTAAAATTGGTCTTGATGGAAGGTTGCAGTCTCGGCAAGTTTCAAAAAAGAGACCTATAGCTGCCGGATTGAGTCCGTGTTGGTGGCAACAGCCAGCAAGATTAAGTTGTCGAAGTTTGCCTTGAAGGATGCAATTCAACTAGTCCTAAAAGTCTCTAACATCAGTCCGAATTTGAGACTACTAAGGAGATAGCACAGGCGTAAAATATTTCAGCAACTAAAGATGCCAAAGTTTGTCTTGATGCAGTCATTAGACACTCAGTTTCAAAGAGTCTTAAACGTCTCGATTTTCAGTCTGAATTAGTTGCAACTGATGAGATAACTTAGGCGGAATGTATTGGAGCTGCTAAAGATGGAGTTCAAAATACTTTGAACAGAATTTTATGTTACAGAAGATTTGATCGTTGAAGTGTTTTAAAATCCCACCTATCGGAGCCCTTCAATACGAGGATTCAGACAAGGTGACCGTTTGTCGTGTGATCTTTTTAACATCCTGCTGGAAAAGGTCATACGAGACGCAAAGGTGAACAGAAATGGCACTCTGTACACAACACATGTTACTCGCCTACGCCGATGACATGGACATAATGGGTCGAACATTGCGAACGGTAACAACAACCTTTGAACAAATTGAAAAGGAGTCTGCCAACGTGGGTCTAGCAGTAAACGGCGAGAAGACCAAGCTGATGGTATCAACGCGCCAGACGTCCAGTAGACTCGGACCAACTGTGGAACTTGAGAACTACAGCTTCGAGGTAGTTAAATATTTTATATACCTTGATACCGCCATAAATAAACGAATGACATCAGTTTTGAAATTCGGAGAAGGATTGTGATGGCCAACAGATGCTACTATGGTCTAAGTAGGCAGTTTAGAAACAAGGACACTTCCCGCCAGACCAAACTCACATTTTACAAGACGCTCATACTACCCGTGCTATTATATGGATCTGAAGCATGGGTACTTGCTCAAGCAGATGAGACAGCTCTTGAAGTGCTTGAAAGAAAAATTCTACGACAGATCTACGGGCCGATCTGCTTCGACGGTGAATATCGGCCTCGAATGAACAACGAGCTTTACAATTTATACGCGGACATCGACATAGTCAGTCGTATTGAGCTGCAGTGACTATGGTGGCTAGGCCATGTTGTGCGAATGAATGAGAATGCCGCAGCTCAAAAGGCATATAAAAGCGAGCCTACTGATGATTACCGTAGAAGGAGAAGGCCACGAATTAGATGGAAAGACCAAGTAGAAAACAACATCTTGGAACGTGGTCTTCCAAATTGGTGGATTTGTGCACAAGACTGACGCGCTTGGAAAACTTTTTTAAGCTCGGCTTATGGAACAACAGTTCTGTAACAAGCCAGCTAAGTAAGTATAAAACCCCACATGCAACGCTGATAAGACTGTTGTTGTTGGTGTTGAGAATTTATGACTCACACGATGGGAAAACTCTCCACAGATCAAATTCTATTATTCTATGTTCTTCAAAGAAGGTTACAGTCCTTACCCAATCGGTTTCTATGAATCTTGAAGTTCTAGAATTTCAGTCCGAATTAGTGGCAACTGAGGAGATAACACAACCGGAAAGTATTGGAGCAACTGAATGTGGTCTTGAAGCATGTCTCGGCATTGGACCGCACATGTGCACTCACAGAAAGCGCGAGCGTAAACAACCACCAATCAGTCTCGTTTGAGCTGTTGATGAAGGTGGTTGTGTTGTCGCTTGTTTTTATGATTTTGATCGTAGCAATGTATTATTGCAGGCGAAGTTTGTCGAGAGAACGAAAGTTACTCTCGCACACTTTGTGTCTGGGTGACCAAACAAATGCATATGTATATGTGCCGACCACTGTCTTGAAGGAAGGTTAATGTCATTACAGATTCAGTCTTGAATTCGAATCGGTATTAATGGCAACTGGAGAGAAACCACATGCGGAAAGTGTTGCAGCAGCTAAAGATGCCAATGATTGTCCTGATGGAAGGTTGCAGTCATTAAACGTTGAGTTTTTGAACGAAACCTTATTGTTTGGAACTTCAGTTCGTATTTGTGTGTATATGGCCTTATGTCCGTCATTTACCTCCGATAAGTCCATATTGTTGTTCACCTATCGAACGTGGGTTTCGTTTAATAAAGATAGTGAATGTCTTGCTGTGGGTTTCTTGTGTGTAAAGGAGAGAATATTTAGTTAAACAGGAATCTATTTTCGTATACCGAATATTTGTACACCTCAATAAGTTTTGTACTGTCACATGTGGTATGTTTGGGTCAGATTACGGGGAGTAATCATAACTACAGACTGATAAGCATGTGTAGCGTGCTTGCCACATGTGAGATAAAGAAATATGTATGTCCACTCCATGTGTTATGAGAAACCACAGGCATCAAGTATTGCAGCACTATCGCACTATGATTCCTTTGGAAGCTGAGTTAATGTAGCTATTTTGGTTTGGATTCTTCGGAGAGTGTCGTTTAAAAAATCAAGAAGTTAGTGTTTGAGGATACCAAAGTTTGCCTTGAAGGAAGGTTGCTGTCATTACACGCTCAGTTTCAACGGGACCTTAAGGTCTAGATTTTCAATCCGTATTGGTGGCAACTGGGGAGGAATCACATGCAGCAAGTATTGCCGAAGATCGCACTGTGAAGACTTTGGATGCTAATTTAAGGTTTAAGGTTTTAAGGTTTAAGGTTTAAATTCATCGGAACGTACTGTTTTAAAAACCAAGAAGCTTGAACCTGAAAATACCATAGTTTGTCTTGAAGGATGGTTGTTGGGAAGAAAGAACAAGAAATGACACCGTCGAATCTTTCGAAAGAAGTCAAAACTTAAGTCTTGACGTCTTCTAAGTACTTACTTACTTAGCTGGCATGTGCCAGAACTTTCGTTCCATAAGCCGAGCTTAGAAAAGATTTCCAGGCGCATCGGTCTTTTGCGCAGTTTTTCCAGTTTGAAAGATCATATTCGGCAACTTGATCTTTCCATCTTATTCGTGACCTTCCCCTTCTACGTGAACCATCAGCTGGTTCGCTTTTAGATGCCTTTTGGACTGGGGCATCTTCATCCATTCTCACAACATAACCTGGCAAACGTAGTCGCTGCAGCTCAATACGTCTAAAAATGTCGATGTCCGAGAATAGCTGGTACAGCTCATGGTTCATTCGACGGCGATATTCACCGTCAACGCTGATCGCAGAGCTGTCTCATCTACATCTGCGTAAGTACCCATGCTTCAGATCCGATATAATAGCACGGGTACTATCAGCGTCTTGTAGAGTGTGAGTTTGGTCTGGCGTTAGGTGGCCTTGCTTATAAGTTGCTTACTCAGACCGTAGTAGCATCTGTTGGCCAATACTTTGCTTCTCCGAATTTCAAAACTGATGTCATTAGTTTTATTTATGGCGGTACTAAGTGTGTGATTTAAAAAAATCCCTCACCTCAATGATTCCTACAAAATATTTTTTAAACTCCTCTATTTCCAAAAATTTCAATAAATTGACTCTTGTCTAGAAATTATTTTTTTATTTATGCCGATCTATATTTATATGACTCTGTATTAATATTATCGAATACATAACCAAACGGGACATCATGTTGAACCATGATTTTCGATCCATATTAAGGGCTCCAGACAGCTTCAAATTCAGCTTACGATTACAAAGGTATATGGCAAATTCTTCACACTGCAATGAAAATGAATAGAAAAATAGGAGATTATTAATTTTTAGCGTGCTGAAAAGTGCATTACGAAAAAGAGAAGGAAGTTCGATATGTAGAAACCCTGTTTTTTTATCTTGAATGTGGATTTATTGCAGAATTTTTCTTGAATATCTTTTGTTTATTTCCTTAAGTGCCTAGAATGCGATATTGATTAAATTCATTTGAAATAGAGAAACTTGTTTTCCGATACGATATGCATTTTGGAAGGCAAATCGGGTATAGAATTTCAAAATTTTTAAAAAATCGTCCACTTATATCCCGTTTGTGTTATGAGGTATTCATTTAAATTAATTGGAGTTTTTTTTTTGTGGAACTCCTGAAGGCGAAAGTAGCCAGTTGAGTTAGAGCACCCTGACTTCGTTTGTTTTTAATTTCAATATTTAATATCGATATGTCACACTCGGCAACCCCTACTTAAAATCTCTGTATGGCATACCTAAATCCTATAAGACTGTTGTTGTTGTAGCAGCCCTATTGCTTTTACCGAAAGACTGTTGTTGGTGTTGAGATTTTATGACGCATACGATGAAAAAAAATTTCCACAGATCAAATTCTATTATTTGAACAAATAGTTTACTGATAAGTACTTGGTGTTTGAAATTAGGCTAAGCCAGAGTAGTTTAAGTAGTACCTAAGGATAAATATTTTACAATAAAATCAGTGCCCTTACAACCACTCACAAAGAACGGTCGGGAGCACCGTGTCTGAATTTCTTGTACCGGCTAGCTGAAGCTGTCTGTATGTTTTTACAGAAGGAAGGTTGCAGTCATCTCACACTCAGTTTCCAAGAGTCTTGAAGGTCTCGAATTTCAGTCCGAATTAGTGGCAACTGAGGAGATAACACAGGCGGAAAGTATTGGAGCATCTGAAGATGGTCTTGAAGGAAGGTTAAAGTCAATACAGATTCAGTCTCAAACTCGAATTGGTATTGATGGCAACTTGGGAGAAACCACAGGCGGAAAGTGTTGCAACAGCTAAAAATGCCAAAGTTTGTCCTGATAGAAGGTTGCAGTCATTACACGTTGATTTTCAACGAGGCCCACAGATTCCACACTTCAGTTCGTATTTGTGACAGCTTAGGAATAAGTATAGCCATCAAGTATTGGAGTACTGTAGCACCATGAAGTCTTTGGGAGCTAAGTATTGCAGGAATATGAAGGTTTGGATTCTTCGGAGAGTGCCATTTAAATCAATCAAGAAGCTAAAATTGGAAGAAAAAAGAAGTTTACCCTGAATTTTATGTTACAGAAGATTTGATCGTTGGAGTGTTTTAAGATAAGAGTCTAAAATCCCACATGCAACGCTGATAAGACTGTTGTTGATCTCCACAGATCAAATTCTATTATTAGAACAAATAGTTTACTGATAAGTACTTTGTGTTTGAAATTAGGCTAAGCCAGAGTAGTTTAAGGTTTGGATTCTTCGGAGAGTGCCGTTTAAAAATCAAGAAGCTAAAATTGGAAGAAAAAAGAAGTTTGCCCTGAATTTTATGTTACAGAAGATTTGATCGTTGAAGTGTTTTAAGATAAGAGTCTAAAATTCCACATGCAACGCTGATAAGACTGTTGTTGATCTCCACAGATCAAATTCTATTATTAGAACAAATAGTTTACTGATAAGTACTTTGTGTTTGAAATTAAGCTAAGCAAGAGTAGTTTAAGTAGTACCTAAGGATAAATATTTTACCATAAAAATTAGTGCCTTAATATTCTGGATATATACCTGAGCCAGTTAAGTCTTCGTTTAAAATCCCCAAACTTACCATTTTATCCACCATCGCATTAAAATGGCGCCCAACATAAAATTGCCTAAGGCTAAAATTTAAATCGGTAAAACTATACGAAGTCTGATCACACATATAATCGTTGATATATAAATCCAAAATATGGCAAATATATGTCACACCAATGAAACCCAATAGCTCCAAAGCATGTCGAATATATTCCACAAATAGAAATATCGAATAGGCAGCTATTAAATTATACAAAATTATATTTGAGCGGCAAATGAACATTTGCCATTTGAAAATCCTCTGCAGGTCCATTAAAAAACCACATAATTTGGTGTGCAATTGAAGTAAGGCGGAAAGTTGGAAAGATAAGTTAGGCTGCTGCATTTCCGATTTTATGGCTTCCTGGGCCATGCAATCCATAGTCATTTCCAGGTAATGAAAACCTCGATATAATTTCGTGATAATTTGAAAATATCGATGCAATACCAAATAGGGTAACATCTGCAAATTGGCATAGCACACAATGAACCCGACATTCCAGATATAACAATCACAGGCCAGTGATCCATGGCTCCACAATAAATTCAGAAAATATAGATAGACGAGTATAACATATTTCAAATATATTAAATTTTGAAAATTCCATTTCAATCTCTTATCGGGATAAAAATTCTTCTTTTCCAAGGCCCAAATTTGACCCTTTAATTCGTTGAACCTTTCATCACTTCGCCAAATGTGTATTATGGTGCACACAACCATTATGCCTTGAACATATTTATAACAGGACATAATACTTATTAAAGGATTCATATTACGCAATTCATCAAACAGTTCCAAGCCGTCGACTAAGACGTAGAGCAAAAGGCCCAAACCCACACAGTGGACCACAAAAAGCACCCCACGGCTTAGGGTATTTCGTTGGAAACGGCCATGGTTAGGGTTATACCAATATCCGGTTAGGCCTTGCAGAATGGCAAAATATTGAAAATAATGTTGAAAATATCCGCCGGCAAGTTTAACGTAATGCGGACAAATATTTCGATGGTGAAATTTGCGGAACATTTCTAATTCAATTGACACTTTCCAGTCCGGTTTTGCAACTGCCGTCAATTAATTTGAGTAATTGAGAATGTCCTTCCGAACGAATGTTTTATTTTAGATCAAAGGATAAGAATAATAACGATATATGACACGTGGGGGGAGATAGGGTACTCTAGGTACGGGATATTAAGGTAAGCATGTATTTTTTAAAAATAGTTTTTTTTTTTTTGACGACCCCCGCAAACTTATAAAGGACCACGACATGCGAGTGTGCACGTTGTACAGAACAGGCGCAGTGTTCGTCGCTCTGGCGGATGTACTCAAGAAGTACAAAGCCGATATTATTGCCTTACAGGAAATGCAATGGAAAGGGATTGGCGTAAGTAAATCAGATGATACGCCCTGTATTATAGCTGCCATGAAACGAGACATGAATTTGACTGCGGATTTATGGTTAACAGGAGAATAAAAGACCTCGTCTACAGATTCACTCCAGTAGATGAGCGAATTTCTATAATCCGTATAAAAGCGAACTTCTTCTACATCAGTCTCATTTGAGCCCATGATCCGACCGAAGATAAAGATAAGCAGACCAAAGACATATTTTACGAGCGCCTAAAAACAGCATATGACTGCTGCCCTGGCCATGACATTAAAATTCTGCTAGGAGATTTTAATGGAAAAAACGGAAGGGAAAATATCTTTGGCCCCACCGTCGGAAAATTCAGCGCCTCCATGAAGAAACATCCGACAACGGCATGAGGTTGATTGACTTCGCGGCAGCAAAAAACATGATGATTCATGATTCAAGCATTTCGATATACACAAGGCCACTTTGATTTCTCCCGATCGAACAACGAGAAATCAAATCGATCATATTGTGATAGACACTGGATGAATGCCTTCATCCAGTGTTCTGGACGTCCGATCGATCCGGGAAGTGAATATCGATTCGGACCATTACCTTGTGGCAGCCAAAGGTACGCACCCGTCTTAATTTGGCAGCAAAGGTACGATCTATTACAACACGGAAATTTGACGTCGAAAAGCTGCAAACACAACAGATAGCAGAAGCCTACTCCGCTCAACTTACCCAACTGCTTGGCGAAAGCACCCCTTTGTCCCGATAATAATTCTATATTATTATCAATGGCAGAGACATATTTTACGAGCGCCTAGAAACATCATATGACCGCTGCCCTGGCCATGACATAAAAATTCTGCTAGGAGATTTTAATGCAAAAATCGGAAGGGAAAATATCTTTGGCCCCACCGTCGGAAAATTCAGCCTGAAGAAATATCAGACAACGGCATGAGGTTGATTGACTTCATGGTAGTTAGCAGCATCAGATTCAAGCATCTCGATATACACAAGGCCACTTTGATTTCTCCCGATCGAACAACGAGAAATCAAATCGATCATATTGTGATAGACACTGGATGAATGCCTTCAAACCGATCCGGGAAGTGAATATCGATTCGGACCATTACCTTGTGCCAGCCAAGGTACGCACCCGTCTTAATTTGGCAGCAAAGGTGCGATCTATTACAACACGGAAATTTGACGTCGAAAAGCTGCAAACACAACAGATAGCAGAAGCCTACTCCGCTCAACTTACCCAACTGCTTGGCGAAAGCACCCCTTTTTCCCGATAATAATATAGAAGTACAATGGCAGAGACATATTTTACGAGCGCCTAGAAACATCATATGACCGCTGCGAACGCAACAGATAGCAGAAGCCTACTCCGCTCAACTTACCCAACTGCTTGACGAAAGCATCCCTTGTCCCGATAATAATATAGAAGCACAGAGTGGGAGAGTATTGCCCACTCTCTACAAACTACAGCAATAGCAACACTTGGGTACCGGAGACCACAATCAAGAAATCCGTGGTGCGATCAGGAGTGTCGTAATGCTACTGATATGAAAAACACAGCGTATAGGGCAACCCTGCGGACAGTAGGAACACGTAATGCGATGGAAAACTATCGGGAGAAAAGGGGAGAGGAGAAACATATGTTCAGAAAAAAGAGAGAAGAACAAGAAAAACGTGAGCGTGAGCAAATCGAGATGTACAGGAGTCAGAATGAAGTCCGGAAATTTTATCTACGAATAAAACACCAAAAGGAAGGCTTGAGTGCAGGCACATCCTCCTGTAGAGATAAAGAAGGAAACCTGGTGACAGATACAGTCAGCGTGCTGAGGATCTGGAAGGAGCATTTTGAAAAACTTCTGGTATCGAATAGTAGCAGTGCAGTGGATACCCCAGAACCAATAATAGATGACGGTATAGAGTGTATACCACTTAGTCAAGATCAGAGCAAGTCAGAATAGCAATCAATGAAGGCTGAAGAATAATAAAGCAGCAGGTGCCGATAGGTTACAAGCCGAACTATTCAAGACTGGTGGTCAGATGCTGGTAAGAAGCATGCACCAGCTAATTTTTACAATTTGGCTAGAAGAATGCATGCCCAATGATTGGATTGGAACCTCAGCATCCTGTGTCCCGTGCACAAAAAAAGGAGACAAGACGATATGTACCAACTATAGAGGAATAAGTCTCCTACCCATCGCATAAAAAGTGCTGTGTGAACGATTGAAGCCAATGGTCAATGACATCATTGGACCATACCAATGCGGCTTCAGACCTGGCAAATCCACCATTGACCAGATTTTCACTCTGCGCCAAATCCTGGAAAAGACCCACGAAAAACACATCGACACATACCACCTATTCGTCTACTAAATATAAAGCGGCATTCGACAGCCCTATCCGTTCAGAGGTGTATAAAGCCATGTCTGCATTTGGCATTTCTGCAAAATTAATTCGGCTATGCAGGATAACTTTAACTGGCACAAGATCACCATTTGAAGTCGGAAATGACCTATCGGAGCCCTCCCATACCGAACGAGCATTTAGTTTGTTTGTCGTGTGACCTTTTTAACATCCTGCTGGAAAAGGTCATACGAGAGGCAAAAGTGAACAGAAATGACACTCTGTACACCAAACAACACATGTTACTCGCCTACGCCGATGACATCGATATAATGGGTCGAACATTGAGAGCGGTAACAGCCACCTTTGAACACATTGAGAAGGAGTCTGCCAGTAAACGGCGAGAAGACCAAGCTGATGGTATCAATGCGCAAGACGTCCAGTAGACTCAGACCAATTGTGGAACTTGAGAACTACAGCTTCGAGGTAGTCAACGATTTTATATACCTTGGTACCGCCATAAATAAAACGAATGACATCAGTTTTGAAATTCGGCGAAGGATAGTGATGGCCAACCGATGTTACTATGGTCCGAGCAAAAAACTTAAAATCAAGGCCACCTCCCGCCAGAACAAACTCACACTGTACAAGACGCTGATACTATCCGTGCTGTTATACGGATCTGAAGCATGGGTACTTACGCAAACAGATGATGCAGCTCTTAAGGGTGTTTGAGAGAAAATTTCTCCGGCAGATCTATGGGCCGATCTGCGTTGGCCGTCGAATGAACCATGAGTTGTACCAGCTATTCTCGGACATCGACATTGTTAGACGTATTGAGCTGCAACGACTACGTTGGCTAGGTCATGTTGTGAGAATGGATGAAGATGCCCCAGCCTTGAAGGTATATACAAGCGAATCAGCTGATGGTTCACGCAGAAGGGGAAGGTCACGAATAAGATGGAAAGATCAAGCCGAAGACAACATCGCCGAAAATGGTATTTCAAATTGGAAAAACTGCGCAAAAGACCAACGCGCCTGGAAATCTTTTCTGAGCTCGGCTTATGGAACGAAAGTTCTGTCACAAGCCAGCTAAGTAAGTAACAAAAAAAATGTTGCTGGTCGTATCATAAGACGTGGATTTTTTAAAATTATTTTTCCAAGGCCTACCATTTGGCGTGGATTTTTTAAAAATATTTTTCTAAGGTCTACCATTGTCGAACAGTTTTTTAAACTATTTTTAAGATGTACCATTAAATATTTTTTTTTTTCAAAGGACTTACCTCTCTATTAAGTTTAGCTGCGGAATTTCGAACGCCATTGAAAAGCCTCAGATTAATATTTAAATTTTCAAAATGTTGCTTTGTTATATCCGTCATATTATCATTCAGATATAAATCCAAATGATTGCAGAAATATGTGGCAACCACCAGGCCTAGAAAGGCCACGGCATCCTTTATATATACCGAAAATAGATATACATAATATACCGCAATGATATTATACAGGTTGATATTGTAGCGGCATTGAAAAATTGCAGATTTGAATAGGAGTTCCAAATCTCTCAAATCTGAACCGAATTTTGAATGCAATTCCATTAGCCAGGATAATTTCACACGTATCAAGGATGGCAGCTCATCTGAGGCTTCATTTGCTAGAAGGCCTACTTGCCGTTCAATATAGGCATACATCCGATTCGATTTCCAAAATAATTGAAAATATTGATAGAGTATCAAATAGGTGAGATATTGCTGATTCGTATGCAGGAATGTCTTGAGGATGACCCACATCCACAAATTCCTTTGTGGCGACATAAGGGTATAACTGGTTATCAACACCGATCCATAGAGGTACAACATAATCGAATATTTCAAATAGGCTAGGAATTTAAATTTCTTTTCAATATCTTGAGATTTAGAAAAGTGTTTGCGGCTTTGCTCCTCCAACCGCTCAATATGCCATTTCAAATCGGTATATTTTTTATCCTGTCGCAACAGATGCCAAACGGTATTTAACAACAACACACCTTGAAGATATTTAAATGAAGACATAATGACCATAAGGCGATGACGTTCCTCCACATTCTCGTAGATTTCCGAATAATCAATTAGAACCTCAATTAAAACGATGGAGGCCAAAATGTTCACACTAATAACCACTGTGCAGGATGCGATACTTCTTTGATATATTCCTTTGTCTTCGTTATACCAATAGGATGTCAGGCCCATTATTATTAGGAGGTACTGCGGAATATTTCGATAATTTTTCTTAACATTTCGTAAGAGATTTTTCATTCCAATTTTTTTCTTCCGCTCCGTAGAAATAACTTAACGAAGAATTTAATTAATACTGAAATTAATTTTTGGGAGTTCCTTTTTTTGTTGTCATTACACACATACGGAACTATTTATTCGGTAAATAAATCGATATCTTTAAGGAAATCTAAAGGTAAACAGAAATTTGTACGCATGACCCTCTAAAAATCTTCTACAGTTTCTGTGTGCATTGTCCATTCACAGGAATACACGTCTTATAGAAGGCCCCCAATATGGTAGGCCTTAGAAAAATAATTGAAAAAAAATATCCCGGCCTTATGGAAGGCCTTTGGAAATTAATTTAAAAAAATCCACGCCTTATGGAAGGCCTTTGGAAATTAATTTAAAAAAATAATTTTTAAAAACTAAAAATTATTTTAAAAATCCACGCCTTATGTAAAACCTTTGAAAATTAATTTTAAAAAAATTATTTGGAAAAAAAAAAATATTTTAAAAATCTAGAAGGAACTTTTGTTCCATAAGCCGAGCTTAAAAACGATTTCCAGGCTCGTCGGTCTTTTGCGCAGTTTTTCCAATTTGAAAGACCCTATTCGGCAATGCTGTCTTTCACTTGATCTTTCCATCTTATTCGTGACCTTCCCCTTCTGCGTGAACCATCAGCTGGTTCGCTTGTATATGCCTTCTGGGCTGGGGCATCTTCATCCATTCTCACAACATGTCCTAGCCAACGTAGACGCTGCAGCTCAATATGTCTAACAATGTCGATGTCCGAGAATAGCTGGTACAACTCATAGTTCATTCGACGGCGATATTCACCGTCAACGCAGATCGGCACATAGATTTTTCGGAGAAATTTTCACTCAAACACTCCAAGAGATGCCTCATCTGCTTGCGCAAGTACCCATGCTTCAGATCCATATAACAGCACGGGTAGTATCAGCGTCTTGTATAGTGTGAGTAGTTTGTACCCATGCTTCAGATCCATATAACAGCAAGGGTAGTAGCAGCGTCTTGTAGAGTGTGAAATTAGTCTGGAGGTGGCCTTGCCTTTGAGTTGTTTGCTCAGACCATAGTAGCATCTGTTGGCCATCACAATCCTTCTCCGAATTTCAAAACTGATGTCATTCGTTTTGTTTATGGCGATACCACCAAGGTATATAAAATCTTTGACTACCTCGAAGCTGTAGTTCTCAAGTTCCACAATTGGTCCGAGTCTACTGGACGTCTTGCGCGTTGATACCATCAGCTTGGTCTTCTCCCCGCTTACTGTCAGACCCTCTTTGGCAGACTCCCTCTCAATTTGTTCAAAGGTGGATGTTACCGTTCTCAATGTTCGACCCATTTTATCGATGTCATCGGCGTAAGCGAGTAACATGTGTTGTTTGGTGTACAGAGTGCCATTTCTGTTCACTTTTGCCTCTCGTATGACCTTGTCCAGCAGGATGTTAAAAAGGTCACACGACAAACTGTCACCTTGTCTGAATCCTCGTTCGCTATTGAAGGGCTCCGATAGGTCCTTTTCGACTTTAACTGCTGACCTTGTGCCAGTTAAAGTTATCCTGCATAGCCGTATTAATTTTGCAGGAATGCCAAACGTAGACATGGCTCCCTCTGACATCCCTCTGAACGGATAGGGCTGTCGAATGCGGCTTTATAATCGACGAATAGGTTGAATGTGACGATGTGGTTTTCATAGCTTTTTTCCAGGATTTGGCGCAGAGTGACAATCTGATCAATGGTGGATTTTCCAGTTCTGAAGCCGCATTGGTATGGTCCAATAATGTCATTGACCATTGGATTCAGTCGTTCACACAGTACACTGGATAGCACTTTATATGCGATGGGAAGGAGACTTATTCCTCTATAGTTGGCACATATCGTCTTGTCTCCTTTTTTGTGCACGGGACACAGGATGCTGAGGTTCCTCTCGCCGAATTTTACTAATCAGCTGGTGCATACTCCTTTCCAGTATCTTGAATAGTTCGGCTTGTAAACCATGCTGCTTTATTATTCTTCAGCCGATTAATTGCTTTTATGACCTCATCTTGGCTAGGAGGTTTACACCGTCATCTATTATTGGTTCTGGGGTATCCTCTTCACCGCTACTATTTGATACCAGAAGTTATTCAAAATGCTCCTTCCAAATCCTCAGCACGCTGTCTGTATGTGTCACCAGGTTTCCTTCTTCATCTCTACAGGAGGATGTGCCTGCACCAAAACCTTCGATTTGGTGTTTTACTCGTTGGTAAAATTTCCGGACTTTATTCAGACTCCTGTACATCTCGATTTGCTCACGCTCACGTTTTTCTTGTTCTTTCTTCTTTTTTCTGAAAATGCATTTCTCCTCTCCCTTTTTCTACCGATAATTCTCCATCGCATTACGTGTTCGTGTCCGCAGGGTTGCCCTATACGCTGCGTTTTTCACATCGGTAGCATTACGACACTCCTGATCGTACCAAGGGTTTCTTGATGGTAGTCTTTGGCCAAGTGTTGCTTTTGCTGCAGTTTGTAGAGAGTTTGCAATTCTCTGCCACTGTGCTTCTATATTATTATCGGGACAAGGGGTGCTTTCGTCAAGCAGTTGGGTAAGTTGAGCGGAGTAGGCTTCTGCTATCTGTTGTGTTTGCAGCTTTTCGACGTCAAATTTCCGTGTTACATTAGATCGCACCTCTGCTGCTACATTAAGACGGGTGCGTACCTTGGCTGCCACACGATAATGGTCCGAATCGATATTCGCTCCTCGGATCGATCGGACGTCTAGAACACTGGATGAATGCCTTGCGTCTATCACAATATGATCGATTTGATGTCTCGTTGTTCGATCGGTAGAAATGCAAGTGGCCTTGTATATATCGAGATGCTTGAATCTGGTGCTGCTAACTACCATATTTTTTGCTGCCTTTCTATAGACCGCGGAAAAAAATATTTTAAAAATCCACGCCTTCTACAGACCACAGAAAAAAATTATTTAAAAAATCCACGTCTCCTATGGGCCCCAGAAAAAAATATTTAATGTATGCCTTACCTGCCGTTCCATCCTGCCGCTTATCTCCATCACGCCATTGAACTCCCTTAACTCCATTTCCAAATCCTCAAAACTATGCGCCATCATATCACACACATAATCGGTTATATATAAATATAAAATATTCATAAAATAGGTAAATACAAATATTCCCGATAATAGCAGGGATTTCCAGATGTGTTCGGCAAAAACAAAGTTCGAATATATCATTAAAATAGTTGCAAAAATTGTGTAAAAACGACTCAGGAAAATTTGTCCCTTGAATATCTTCTGCAAATCCTTCAAGTAGCCACATAGCTGGGAATGCAGGCTCAACACCCAGACAAGTTCTCGACGCAAATTTTTCTCGCGATTTTTAAAGTTGGTCCTTCCGATTAATATTTTCAAATATCCATTAATTCCATAAAATATCCAACACAAACGCCAATTCAATTCGAAATATTGAAAAAGCACAAAATTACTGAGCGTTATTACATTGACATAGAGAACCAGCAATGCAATGGTCCACACATTTATTTGATCGATATAGATGTGAAGATTTGACAGGAATGCTATCATGTAGACATAGGCCAATAAAAAATATTCCAGCCATAACAAAATTTTGAGTTCGATTTCCATTTTTCCACAATTCTTAAATTTCAAAGCACATCCATTCTCCAATGTGCGTATTTTCGATTTTAATTTAATATAATTATTTTCATTGGTCCATATATGACCTATGGTATATATGGCCAAGACAGCTAGAAATTTAAAATTGCTGGTTGACATCAGAACCATCAAGGGGTGTAAAAATCCCGCTTTCGAAATGCCCATGAGATATTTCAGAATTGTATGAAACATTAAAATCAGTTCGAGAATGTTGATTAGCAAATGTACGAAGCGGGAGAATTTGTTGCGGCAATAAAGGCCCCGTTCGGCATCATACCAATATGAGCTTAGGCCCTGTAGTATTGATAAATATCGGCAATATTTTGTAATGGCCAGAAAATACATGGTAAACAAAGTTACGAATTGAAATTTCCGTTACGATGCGAACGTATCGAGGACTCGGCTAGTACTGAATGTTCGTGCTCACAATTCATTAGTGACTTGTAAAATAGTTGATTAACCCGTTGAGGGACTGTTAGCAAACAATTATTTTAAAAATCCACGCTTTTTATAGACCGGGCGCGTCCAGGGGGTCCGCGGGGACAGAAGCCCTGGAGGTGGACGATCATACTAATCTATTACAACCAATGTATGCTGTTCATTGTTTGATCATCCACCTCCAGGGCTTCTGTTCCCGCGGACCATAACTAACTATGGCGGTGTTCCCCTCAAAAACAAAAAAACGAAAGATGGATAAAGAAGGTAGAAGAATTAAAGTTATGGTGCAGAGCCTAAATAACTCAGTACCGGCGGGTGTCGTTGATCTGTCACGAGTCACGCCCCGTCGTCAACCTGCGATCGTGAGCAACAATCTCCTACAGATATGGGTGTCTTGGCATCTGTAGTCGAAGATACAGCTACAAGCACTCAACCTTCGGGCAACACCAACTCGAAGTTGAAGAACCACAGGGGAAGAGCTATCTAAACCCAGCCTTCAGAGTCTGGAGGAGACTCAACTTCGAACTCTGAGTCTGATCATGATAATCAGACAAACATAACCGTCTTGGAGAGCCGGAAGAGAGAAGAGGCTGACAAGATGATAGAGGAGGTGAGTAAAGATATCGCCAAACTCACAACCAGGAAGAAAGAGTTGTCTGGGGCACAAAGGCGAGACTGGAGGGGACTCAACTTCGAACTCTGAGTGTGATCATGATAATCAGACAAACATAACCGTCTTGGAGAGCCGGAAGAGAGAAGAGGCTTACAAGATGATAGAGGAGGTGAGTAAAGATATCGCCAAACTCACAACTAGGAAGAAACAGTTGTCTGGGGCACAACG